TATCTTTTATCTGCATACGAAATGTTCAACTTTCCCATCTTCTAGAATATAAAATAATTAGATAACTGTGATTCACATACCCAGGTATCCCCTTATCAATAATAAATGCTGTGATTCCTTTTGAGCCAGCTGTGACATCTGTCTTTGCATAAACAACCTAAAAGAGTCGATGAATAAGTATAAAACAAGAAATTATTGCAGAAGTTGTATAGTGAAGCAGAAAGGATAACTTTATCTATATCAGGCATAGCTTTTACGACCAGATCCTCTTGAAAAGAAATTTTCCACCGAAGGACTGTGTAGAAACTGTTTTCTACTCAATCAAATGGTTTATCTGCTGAATGCTACTGCATGCAGCTTAAAACGAGCAGAAAGCACTTGATTCACAGGTAACCACATATAAGTAAAACAACATTTTACACAAAAACATTATACCATAAAACCTTGTATTCGATATATCATGAAAAAATTGTTCGAAGAAATTCAACAATCACCACATATGAGTAAAACGACATTTTGCTAAATCCTAAACTGGTGGACTTGAAACCTCTCCAACTGTTTGAAAGTTTTAACAGAGAAAAATAAAAACTTTAGCACAATGGTATATTTGGTGCTTGGAAGAATCAAGAACAGACCAACAAAAAAAATCATTGACAGAACAGTTTCTACTACAAAGTCAACTTGGGCAGCCTCTGTTGCATCTATAGAATACAATTAGAGCCTTTTAATTTAGCTTAAAGGAAGCTAAAAGTAAAACAGATATAGACACACACATTTCTCAAGGAATATATATGTAGCAAAAATAAGTAAAACTAGGAAACAGAAAGTTAACCATAGCCATGCCAAATAATGTAAAGGAATTCTCAATAGGTATACCAATGTTTGGGCAACTGGACCATTAGTGCACCACATCTTGTTCCCATTGAGAAGATAACCCCCATCAACCCGATCAGCTTTGCACTTCATGCTAACAACATCTGATCCAGCTGTAGAGATTGCAAAAACAAGCTGGTTCAAATAATTAAAAATTGTTCAGCCTTATGAATGTTAATAAATGTAAGACATAAGAAAAAGTTTTTGTAAGTTACCATTGGGTTCACTCATAGCAAGGGCTCCTACATGCTCTCCACTGATGAGCTACAAAAAGCGAGATACTGGTTATCTCATAAGCGAGAGAGAATCCAAAATAACAAATAATACAAGTTAGCAGAGTGCCAATGTTTTTATTTATGTATAACTTGTCCATAAAACATCACATGATTATGAAAAAACAATGATGTCGGATACAGAAAAAAAAAACTAGTCATTTGAAAGAATTTATCAGAAATAAGACAATATATAGGGAATTAATAAAAGTGGGATGATCAAAATAGAACCTTGGGTAAGTATTTCTCTTTCTGGGCAGGAGTTCCATTCCTCACCTGCAAAACCATAAAAACGAAAATCACCTTAAGCCTGCTAGAAGAAGCAGATTGTAATTGAACACCAGCATAGAGTCAGCAACTTGGTTTACCAACTGGTTGATGCACAGATTAGAATGAGCACCGTACGAAAGACCGACCGACCCAGAAGCACGGCTGATTTCTTCCATTGCTATGCAGTGATACAAGTAACCAAGACCAAGTCCTCCATACTCCTCTACAAGGGAATAAGAAAAAAAAATGGAACGAAAAAGTGCTTTTCTTCATTAATGAAGTACCGATCAAATGAACATGTTATCGGCAAAAATTCCATTGAATCCATTTGAATCTCACACTTAAAGTAAAAGGGTGAAAATGAGGTTGAATTGATAATAATAGAACATAATATTTACCTGGCGCAGTTATTCCATGGAGATTAAAATCCCCCATGAGCTTCCATAAATTAACTTCCTGCATAAATGAATGAAGTGGAAAACAATATTCAAATAAATGAATTTTTTTTAAAAAAATCTAAAAAGAGAGAGATTAACTTAATTCGGACCTTGGGGAAAGAATTAGATTGATCAATTTTGGAAGCATGAGGCGCAATATTTTCAAGCGCAAATTGCCTAACACTCTCTTTAAACTGTCATCATTAACACATAAAAAGTCAAAGAAACTTGGGGGGAAAAACTAATGAAACCCAATAATATTTTAAAAGTAAAAATTCACTCGTTTTTACTAGAAAAAGAGAATAACCTGTAATTGAGTGTCATCGAAGAGTAAGGATGATGAAGAGAAGAAAGCACGTTGTCTTTCTTTTCTCAAAAATTTGCCGCAAAAAGAACTTGCTGCAATTATCCTCTGCATATTTGTTCTTTTTTATTATTTGAAAACTTTAATTTTTGTTATTAAGGGAAGAAGAAGAAGACGAGGATGACAAGCAAGAAACGTTATATATATATATATATATATATAGCATGGGGATATGTGTAGTGCGCTGGACTGAATATGTGACAGACACGTGGTTCGTTTTGATTGGTGAAAGGAGATAATTAGGCGTGGGTTTATTCTTTTAGTCTTATTCTTTCTGTATATTATTATTATTATTATTATTTGAAGAAAGTCTTTTTATATTGTAGATTAGGATACAGGACATTAGGGTAAAATTTTCGAGATAATGTTTTGGAAGAAATTAATTCACGAGTTAATGCACTCTCAAGATTAATTGTTCAAATAGGGTGAAATTCATAGTGTTGGTCGTAGGTCGTCATGCCTTCCGGGTGACCTTGTAGGTCGACATGCACTCCGGGCGACCTTGTAGGTCGACATGCACTCCGGGCGACCTACCCTTTCTCAAACAGAGAGAATGAACGTGTTGCATAGAACATGCACGTCCCAACACATAGGTCGCCATGCCCTCCGGGCGACCTACTCTTGCTCGGTCGCTCGGATGCCCTCGTATAGCTTGCTCGGATGTCCTTGGGTTCCCTCGCATAGCTCGCTCGGCTGCCCTCAGATGCCTTCGAATAGCTCGTTCGGATGGCATCGGTCGGATGGCCTCGGATGGCCTCGTATAGCTCGGTCGGATGGCCTCGGATGCCCAGCGTGTTGGGACGTGCATGACACATACAATCTCTTGTAGCTCGCCGGGAAGACATGGCGACCTAGTAGGTTGCCCAGAAGGCATGGCGACCTACGGCCAACACTGTAGATTTCACCTTATTTGAACAATTAATCTGGGGAGTACATTATCTCGTGAATTAATTTTTTCCAGAACATTATCTCGAAAGTTTTATCGGACGGAAGACTCCACACGACAACAAATTACGTTTACTTTTATTGTGACATTAAATTGTATTTAAAGTTTAAATTAGTATTAAATTATTAATAGTATCATCTTAATTATGTTTTTTTAATTATAACAATACGAGAATAAACACATTTCGTTTATTGGTCAAACTGTTATTTTTATTATTTTATATTATTTTAGGTAATGATTTTTAAATTTACTACGAGCACTTCTCTTCTTTTTCCTAGAGTCCTCAGTCCACTTAAGATTAGAATTAAATTTAAAATTTATCAAAAATTATAACAATATGAACTCATCAAATGATCTCCTAAATAAAAGAAAAAATTATTTTCTCTATTTATATTATCAATTAATTAAGAAAATGACTAATTAATATATATTTCAGATGAAATCAATATAATATTATGTCATGGCCCATTCTTTTGCACATGTATTATGTGAAATGTAGGGGCCTCACATTTTTTAAAAATCTGTTAATAAAAAATTATTTTCTCAAAAAAATTGCTATCATTCATTTAATAATTTTTATGATCAGATTAAAAAAAATCTTTTAGTTTTCTCCTTTATTATCTTAATAAATGAATTGTAATAATTTTTTTATAAAAAAATCTACAATAAATGAATTGTAATAATTTCTTCCTAAAACCTCACTAAAATCATAATGTCTAACAAAAAATATTTTAGGGTCCTCATTTTATTATAAATTCTAATAAATATTATGTTCTTTTTTTCATCTCAAACAATATGAATTCATCAAGTGTTTTCATAAATAGAGGGAACGTTGTTTTTCCTTAAAAAAGTAATCAATATTTCCGATGAAATCAATATTTATGCTTAGTTCAAGGACTAAGCGTTTAACCCTCACTTAAGAAGGTCAAGATTTGAATTCATCCATCTATCACATGTCACCATAATTTATAGGAAGTTGTTCGCATATCTTTGTGGTAGATATGCGATTCTGTAGAGATTCTCACGTTGTTCGTGTTTGATTTGCGATTGTCGGTTGTCCTTTAATTGTTATATTCTCTTTTGTTGTGGTTTGGTGATGTATTTAAATATAGTTTACAAAACAACATGTAAGTTTACTTTGATTCGCTCATCACTGCTTCATGATCTCTAAAACGTGCAGTTGGATAGAGATAAAGGAGCACTATTGATGATTATCATGTTGCTATAGATGATGGACATCATATTCAAAAGAAAGTTTCGACTAATATTGTACTTTTGAATTTTCTTTTTTATTTCAATTTATGTTTCAATTTTTTTTGGTGGATTTAGTCCCTAAAAATTCTATCTTTAATTGAGGGCATTATTAAGGTTGTATCTTTTTTTATTTCAACAAAATTCAGTGTCGTTTCAATTAAAAAAAAAGGTAAAATTGTGAAAGATTAGAGTGCTTCAGTCAATGAATTATCTTTAGTCAATGACTAAAGATCTTATTGTAAAATATGATGTGTTATTATCTAGTTAACTATTAATTAGTTATTTTATTAAAAGTATTTATATATACTGCTATGAAGTGTATGGTTAAACGTTTATATAAATCTTTTACATCTAATAAATTTGTAATATATTTTAAAACAAAAAATTAAAATTAATGGATTTTAAGAGTATGCATTTAAGGATATGGGGTTATTTAGATTAAAAAAACTATAAGGGTTTGTTAAAATAAGTTACAATAGTTTAAGGGACTTTTCAAGAAATAAGCCAAAATTATAGCTTTGGGAACCAAAAGGTTAAGCAGTAATCGGGCGTAGCCTTTTTCTTTTCGTTTTTGGTAGTGAAATGAATAGAAAAAAAGGCTGAAAATTTCAAGATATAAGTAATCAAGCACAAGCATTGGCACTCAATAGTCTGGTTTTGATTCAGTTTAGCATCTATTTTTCAGGTTTTCTGGAAATTCCAGGTGATTATTTACTCTCCCTCTCTTTAAGAGAAAAGAAAAGCTTTAACTTTCTTTTATATGTTTTGGTTTCTGTTTTCTAATTGTAACCTTGTTCTTACAAAGTATTTGATTTTTCTCCCTTTGATTTGATTTTTAGCTTATTCTATATAATGGGTCGTCTCAAATCCCAGTCTTTAATCAAAATCTGGCAAACTTTTTTTTGTTAGTTCACTCATTTCCTCGAACAGTTCCCTTGCACTCTCATGAAACTTTAAATTTCCCTTTTTGTTGCTTTTGGGAGCAAAATTGAAAACAAAAATATTGCCTTTGGAATTATATCGGCAAACAACTAATATTTTTGAAGATTTAAACATTATTATTATTGTTATTACAGAGGGGGTTGATTTTATGGTATGTGTAGTTGTTTTAAAAAATTGGTGTTGACGTTTTTAGTTTGCTAAATAGATTTTTTTGTTTAATTCGCCCATTTTATTAGAAGATTTGATGCTAAAATTTTGTGATTTTTAGGACGCATTGGTAGAGCCTAACCTAATCTAAGTTGTAAGAAGGGTTAACATTGTTGGTTTAAGGAAGAATGAACAACGGAGCGGGAAAACGGATCAATGGTGGAGTTGAAGAGGATGATGAGGAAGATGATGTGAATGGGGATCTTGATGCATGGGAGAGAACTTACACCGATGAGAGATCGTGGGAATCTTTGCAAGAGGATGAATCGGGGATGCTTCGCCCCATTGACAACCAGGCACTTTATCATTCACAGTATCGTCGGCGCCTTCGTTCGCTTTCATCCACTGCTGCTCGGATACAAAAGGGTCTCATTCGTTATCTTTACATTGTTATCGATCTTTCCAAGGTACCATTTTTCACCCTCATTGTCACTCTAGTTTAAGATTTTGCTTGTTTTGACTAAATATGTTGTTTTTCAAATAAAGAGAATCGAAATTTTGTTTTAGAGTGCGTAAATTTTGTAGCATAACAATCAAGTTTGATTAGCATTATTATCTAGATTTTGATTTGGTTACTTCTAGGAATTGAGTTTCATAATCATGATGAGCAGTTTGTAGTTTTAAGTGATCTCAACTCACACTAGTTTACGATATTGTCAATCACAAGCTTGTGTTTAATAGAGTCCTGGATCCCATAACTTATCCATCCGTCTTTGCTCGCCTAGAGAAAAGGCCAAGAAGCATTTTTGTGGAATTTTCATTGAAGTTTCTCGTTGATATATGCCTTGCATGAGTTAAGCGATTTGTCTGAAAATTGGTTATTTGTTTCAATCATCTTGAAGTTAAAAATAGTTGAAATTTATTGGTTCTATATACGAACAACTGATTATTTTTTACTATATTTAGGCAGCTTCGGAGATGGATTTTCGACCAAGTCGAATTGCTGTCATTGCAAAACATGTTGAGGCTTTTATCCGGGAGTTCTTTTACCAGAATCCTCTTAGTCAAGTTGGCATTGTGACTATAAAAGATGGGGTTGCTAGCTGCTTAACAGATCTCGGTGGTAGTCCTGAGTCTCATATCAACGCTTTGATGAAGAAGTTGGAATGTTCAGGTGATTCCTCCTTGCAGAATGCATTGGATCTCGTAGATGGCTATCTGAATCAAATTCCGTCATATGGCCATCGTGAAGTTCTTTTACTGTATTCTGCTCTCAGTACTTGTGATCCTGGAGATATAATGGAGACCATTCAGAAATGCAGGAAATCTAAAATAAGATGTTCAGTTATTGGCCTCGCTGCAGAAATGTTTATATGCAAACATCTCTGCCAAGAAACCGGAGGAACATACTCTGTTGCACTCGATGAGGTAAGAAAAAAAGGAAACACACGATTGACCATATTAAACTCAACTGACTTAAACTAGGCGATTTGAAATTGACAGGCTAACTTTAAAGGAATGGTAAAGTCTATTTTTTGAAGTATCCAATGGACCTTTGTCTTGGAAAAACCAAAGGAAATTTCATTGACTAGTCATTGATCTCCGACTTTCTATGTCTGTAGATGTTATATATTGAACGTTGTTCTCGAGAATTTCTTTTCCCCCTTGCATTTGTTGTTTTTTGTTTTGTTTTGGGAACATGGGGAAATGGAGTTGTTGGTTCTTTTTATGCATTTTCAATCGACATGTAATGTGTTTCTTATCCATAGATGAAGTGGAAAAATGATTTTTTTCCTCATGTGTTGTTTTTGTGCAGTCCCATTTTAAAGAGCTAATATTGGAGCATGCACCGCCGCCACCAGCCATAGCAGAATTTGCAGTTGCTAATTTGATCAAGATGGGATTCCCACAAAGAGCAGCTGAGGGTTCTATATCAATTTGTTCATGTCATAAAGAAGCCAAGGTAGGTGCAGGTTACACTTGTCCCAGGTGCAAAGCCCGTGCATGTGAACTCCCTACCGAATGCCGTGTCTGCGGGTTGACACTCGTGTCTTCACCCCATTTGGCTAGATCATATCATCATCTCTTTCCTATAGCACCATTCGACGAGGTGTCCTCATCTCGTCTAAATGATCCAATCCGCAAACAGCAAAGGAATTGTTTCGGGTGCCAACAAAACCTCCTCGATTCAGGTGAGTGGTGATAAGGAATGTATTAAGTGCTGCTAATATTGATTGAATTTACTTGTGATACAATATGTTACGTTTTAAGGCTGACTGCATGAACCAACTGAACTAAACTCGGATTATGCAGTTACATTGTAATCTGTCATTCTTCTTTCCTCCTCGATAGTTCTCCTGGCTGATGCTTGCTGGCTTTTGTCTCAGTAAACAAAGCCGGGCTCGCCGTCGTGTGCCCGAAGTGCAAACGGTACTTCTGCCTGGACTGTGACATTTACATTCACGAGAGTCTGCACAATTGCCCTGGTTGTGATAGCTTCAGGCATTCCAAGGCAGCCACTGCAAATGAAGATTAGCAATTACTTTTGCAGCGGAAATTCATAGTTTTGTGGCTCCCATTCCCGTGTCATATGCTACTTTCTCTTGGAACATTTTCTGGGAATTTCCCAACTTCGACGATTGGATTTAATATTTTGTGACACCATATATTATATAGAGAACTTTGGGACATGGTTTCATTTGCTGAAAATTCAGTATTTTTCTCATCTTTTTAATAGAATGCTAATATTTATTTTGCTCCTTTGGTCCCATGAAATCAACCCTTTTTGAAACAGCTCCCTATGTTGCCAACCCTTCCAAGTGAATGTTACTCTGATAAAGCCGGAAACTATGGCTTTCACCGCCACTTCTGGATCACCGTCATCCGAATATTCCTCTTCCGGCAACCAGGTTTGGGTTAGTGATGGAAGTGCACGTGTAAGAGTTATTGAACAAGAAATTACCGTCGTATACAACCAAGCATAATCGTTTCGTATCAGGCTATTGTGTGTTTTTTCCTCATTCAAGTACATATGTTTGTTAATTAGGTGTATAGTCACCAATCATTAATTATTATAGAAATTGTAAGTTAATTTCTTATAGGTGTTATGAGTCTTATATAGGTGCTTAATGAGTTAAGCTACTCGAACTCAACTCGATCAGAACTAGGTAAAAGTACAACTTGAGTTGATTGGACTTGAACTCGAGCTCAATTTGAGACCTTAACAACTCGACTCGAGCTCCCTTAACGAGTTGAGTTGAACTCGACTTAATAAGTTCACGAGCAGTTCATTAATTTTTTCAGTAACTTTTTAATAATTATCTTAAAAAATTATTTCATTCATACTAATTTACTAATAGCTATAAAAAGATTAATTTTCTAATAAATAACAAAAAATACTAAATACTAAATTATTAATTAATAATTATTATTTTACTAAACCCAAAAATAAACTCTTAAGTATTATTTTAATGCATTTGATGATTGCTACTTTACGGTTTAGACTTTGAATTGCTTTTTACACTCTTTTGATAATTTTTTGTTTAATTTATTAATTTATGTTTATATTAAGGTTTATATAGTATTAATAGATTTTACCTATTGTTAAAAAAAAGGTAAAAATTTTGGTGAGCTAAACCAGCAACTAATTTTTTTAAAGAACACGGAGCTCCACAGGTGTAGCAAAACTCATATCCGCATTTGCAAATGGATATATGAAATTGGTGGCATGGAAAGAAATGGTAAATTAAATGTATAACATGATCTTGCTTCCATCAAGAAAATATCAACCCCTTGCTTTCTGACATTTATGATATCAGGCATAACTAGTTTATACTATTTTGGACACAAATGGTTTCTTTTTTCTTTTTTCCTTGAATCGTGTTTAGTTTCGTGTTGCTAAATCTTTCCATGGAAAAGAAGAAAAGTTACATACCTACAAGTGATGTGATAACACCCTTCAGAAAGTTCAACCACATTCTTGCACTTTATACACTCGCGCCATCGTTTTTTATTTGCGAGAGAGTTGAACATTGCATCTTCTGTTGCAGGATAAGGGTTCCGTCTTTTGTAATCAAAGCAAGTCATACTATAGTGCCAGGGAACCTTGCAATTGATGCAAAAAAAGCGAGATCGCATTTAACACATTTTCGGGCCCCAGATTTTTCAGCACCAAGAATTACAGTACTAGTATATTGTAAGACCTCACTTTTTGACATTAGTGTGGAACACCTCGGAAATGCACAATAAACTTTCTCTGAATCAGGAATGGAAGCTTCCTTCTTGCGGTTGCTCATGATTCCAACTAATTTAGGATCCAAAGAATTTCCCACAGCTATCAATGGTCACCTCGGAATTACAGCCTTCATGTGGGCAACTAGCCACCATTGCATTAAGCAATTTGACTTCTACATGCTGCTTCATGCAAGAAAAGCAATATCGGTGAAAGCAACCATCGACTGAAAACATCTGAGTAGCATTGACATCTTCAAAACATATCACACAAGTCTCCTTCAAACCTTTTCCATTGCTACTTTCTGCAGGCCAAGTAATGTGAGAGACTATAGCATCTCTTGCTAGTGAGACCTCAAATTTCATATCGTTACGTGCCACAAGTGATGGTTGGAAATAAGTAAACCGCTTTTGTAGAAGAGCAACCTCATTGACTTTTGTCCCCATCTTGCTCTGTCCCGGTTGCAATCTGCCTGTAATCTATATTCAGGAATTCATGGCGCAAACCGTCACTATTTAGAGATTTATAAAATTCAAAAATATAAGTGCAATATGCATGGCATTGGATCTTAATTCCCAAAACTTCGCGAACACTACTGCTTATCAGCAACAACCATTTCCCAATGGAAAAGCCAGTGATGACACTGTTAATATTTAGTCTAGCCAATACAAACTACGTGTTACCATTACTTAGCATCCGTCAAAGGTAAATCAATTTAATCATGAAAGGGAAAGGCGGAGAAAATAATGGGAGAATTAAACAAGCCTACAAGCAACAGTTTGAAAATAAACTCAGTTGAAGCGAAGTCATGATCACAACAATAATCCCATATCAGGACCCATACGATAAAAAGCAATGCAACAAGTGATATATCAAAAAGCTATACCGATTCAGGACCCATACGATAAGAGCAATGGAACAAGTGATATATCAAAGCTAAACCATATCAGGACCCATAAGATAAAAGCAATGCAACAGGTGATATACCAAAGCTATACCGAATCATGACTCATACGATAAAAGCAATGCAACAAGTGATATATCAAAGCTATACTGTATAAGGATCCATACAACAAAAGCAGTGCAACAAGTGATACACCAAAGCTATACCGTATTAAGACCAAAACGATAAAAGCAGTGCAACAAGTGATATACCAAAGCTGTACCGTATTAGGACCTATATGATAAAAGCAATGCAACAAGTGATATACCAAAGCTATACCGTATCAGGACCCATACGATATAAGCAATGCAACAAGTGATATACCAAAGCTATACCTGATACGGTTTTAAAATTGAATGTTTTTTTTTTTAATTTTTAGTTCATCATAATGTTTTTTTTGGTCAAAATGTATTTTTATGTTTTAAACGATTCTTTTAAAATACTTTTACCTTAATTGGTGCTTCTATTGAAAACTATTTTCAAAACAAGTGATGTCCTTAATTTATTGAATATTTTTAACATTTGGAATCACTTTAAGCTTATGATGCCAAATTTAATAAGGTTTTAAAATCTTTTTCAATTGGTGTCTTTTTGGATATTCATGCATATGTTATTATTTGCAAATGATATCTCTCTAACCATTGGTATCCATATTAAATGCATGACATTGTGTAGTGCTTTATGCATATGAGATTTAATATGTCATTTTTAATTATTGCATAAAGTATAACAAAGTCTTGGATTTATCAATGTTATCAAAAACCGGACCGGCCCGGCCGATTCGACCGGTTGAACCGGGAACCGGTTGCTTGTCCGGTCTAATCAGCCTCCAAAACCAGTTTTGTAATGAACCGCTAAAGAACCGGTTGGGAACCGGCGGTTCAAGCAGTTCACACGATTCTATTTTTTTAAAAGTAAATCAAACGACGTCGTTTGTTATGATTTTTTTCAGCCCCAAAAAATCAAAAAACAATGAAGGTTAATCTTTGCTTGTTTATTTTAGTTATATAATTATATTTATTATTTAATATGTTTTACACTTTTACTTTTAATTGTTAAGTATTGTTTGTGAATTTAAATTTAACTTTGTATTTATTTATCATATTGCTAGGTGATGAAAATCTTGATGCTGTGGACTTTCAAGTTCAAAGTGATGTTATGGAGTTTCAAGTTCAAAGTGGTGATGGCGGTGATAGTTCAACTAATGACGAAGCTTTTCCCAATATTTTGGAATTTGAGGGAATCAATTTCAATGAATATTATGATGATTGATACTTGTATCAATTATATACTTTTTTATTTAGTTGTTGATGAATTTCATTAGGTATTGACATTAAATATTATGTTGTAGTTGATTTGAATCATTTTGTTTCACTTGATATTATGATATTTAACTTATATATTTATGATTTGTGATATTTTTATACCTTTTAATATCATGAACTATAGTGTTATATATATATATATATATATATATATATATATATATATATTAATAAATATTATGTAAATTTTTTTTATATAAACCGGTTCAATCACGGTTTAACCACGGTTGAACCAGTGAACCAGTACCTTCACCGGTTTAAGGTCCGGTCCGATTTTAAAAACATTGGGATTTATTGAATTTTATGTGTTACTAACATGTTTTCTCATCTTATTGAAATTCAATATCCTTATGAAGTGCATAACTGTTTTTTTGTGCCATAACTTTTCATGAATGTTGTTATTTAGGGAAGCTTTGTTTTTTAAATGATTTATATGCTTGAACTCTTTATTTTTTTATTTAACTTATTCTATATTGTTGAATTATTTGTGATATTACAAAAAGGGGTAAGTAAGTGAAAAAATTAATTTATCAAAGAAAAATGGGGCTTAATATATATATATATATATATATTTAATAAAGTCTCTTTATCAAAATATATTTTTCTAAAGGGTGGTTTTTAGCCTTTTTCAAAAACTAATTTTTCAAAGAAGTTATGTTATATCAAAAAGGGAGAGATTGTTGAACTTATATTTTGATATAACAAATATTTGTAAAATTGATTTTGGACTTAATCAAATATTTCAAAAATAATTCAAAGTCCAAAATATCTTGAAATATTTTTTTCTAAATTGTTTTATATAGGTGAAATGTTTTAAGTTAATTAAAACATGTTTAAAGTGTTTAAAATGTATTTAAAGGTTCTAAAATATGGCAAACTATTCACTCACTATTTGACACTATTTATACATGGATATTGTTCATAGTTTGGAAACTTGTACGAGTGTGGAAACTTTTATAAAGAGTTTTGAAACTTTTGTAAGAGTTTTAACACTTTATACCCTGAAACTATTTTAACGATCCAATTTTCTTCAATGGTTGTCACACCCCTAGTTTTAATTTATTGATTTAATTATATTTTAGGTGTTAAATTGAAATTTTCTAAAAGTTATGGCCAGTTTTCTAATTTTAAAACAATGCAAAGACTAATCCCTAGGTTTACCCATCAATGGTCTGCAAAGAAAAAAATAGGTAATTTGGTGAGTTTTCAGCCATGAGGTTTTGAATCCACATATTGCTACAGTGATGTCCAATGGCCCTACCATTTAGGCTAAGACATTGTTGAGTTTTATTTT